TCCTTACCACGCCACGCCATTTCTCCGACTTTTTCGTTGGACGGCATTTAGTGCCGAGGATATAAGGGTTTTCCCCCTAGTCTAGAAAAAGAGCTCCGTTGTAGATGATCCAGCACTGTTGCGGAAAGAGACTCTCGCATTACATCCGAGCTCAAAGCTCTTCCACCTCGCCCTTTCACGACAGTAACGCATCACGAGAATCCCAACGACGTTGAGGAACTTTACATTATTCGCTGGAGAGGGGTGCTTGCCTTTGAGGAAAATGTTCCAAGCCGCGAATAAATTTTCTCCGGTTTTGAAAATTTCTCGTTTTTTCGTTTAGTTCGCTATGCCCCCCCCCCACCTTAGCTGCTATCGCTGCAGGGCTACCATACTACTACTATTTCGGATAGTTAGAACCAGAAGAACCAGCAGGAGATTGGTGACGACCTTCCCTTCCCCACCCCTCCTCCGCTCGACGGAAGATTTTTCTCGGAACAAACTAGTTAAATGTTTGGAAAACTGAGAAAAGTGCTAGGACTTTGGGAAAACTTAGGTAGATGGTAGGTATAATATGAAAGAGGGCCTTATAAGATGAGGAAGTTTTGTTGGGGAGGGGGAGGGGTAGGAGAGGTCGTAGTGACACTGCCATCCCGCACATCGTCGCTGTACCCTTTGGGGGGAGTGTAGACCAGAAGTTTCAGTCTCCTCCGCATGGAACTTACCCTCCATCTCTAATGGTCCGTGATCAGCAGGTTTTTCGTGAGAAATTGCAGGCAAGTGTATATTAAGGTAGGGCTGAAGAAGTGGATGATTTTGGACAGTTGTGTGACCACCAGGGCACATGCTGTCGCTGGCGAAAATTTTTGCAAAGTACGATCCCCTCAAATTTCATCCTCAGGTACGACCCCTCCCCGCTTTCCCCTCTTACCTACCATCTTACTGGCTTTTCTCCCAACTTCCTACCTTTTTCCAGTTTTCAGTTGTTCCCAAGAAAGTGGAGTCGAGGTTGCCGCCAATCAACAAACAATTTTAGCAAAAAAAAGTAGCTCTACTGGGCTTTCTTTGACTGCATCGTGATCTAGGGGGGATGGAAAAACAAAACTTCTTGGATCACGCCCCCCGCTGTGGATTCTCCAGCGTAAGAATGGCTGCAACAGCTTTTCAACGACTTCAAGCACTTACCAGGCTGACAGTGGCAACCAGGTGTACACGTGGGTGGTGGACATGGTGCCAAAGTGGGATCATCGCAAGACGAATTGCTCATTCACACCACAGATAAGCGTCATAGGTTGAATTGGTGGCACTGCAATCAAACGGTAAAGTTTATCTGGCGCTGTTCGGCTTGGGGGGAGGGGCACTATTCTAGTTTGTTTTACTAGTTCCTGTCAATTTACAGATCTCTCCTTGGTGAGACCTGTAGACTCTTGTCAAGTGTTAACGAAGCTCTTGCTATTACGTAGCTCTGCAAGAGTTTACAGGTCTCTACGTGAGACATCGGCAGTGATCGTTTTAAGCAAGAAAAATGCCCCCACCAAGCCAAACCGTTCCCTTAATTTTTTTCAATGTACATGAAAAAACATTGTTAATAATATCGCAATAATAAGAAATCAAAAGAGAAGAGAGAATGGACGGCTGTTAGACGGAAACGAAAATGGAAGCGGTAGAAAAGCATAGCGTTAGTGTTTCCGGTTAGTACCAGGAGCAAGACAAATAAGTCCCTTCGTGTGCTCGCAGCACTTCCACGTCTTTGGACAATCGGAATCGCAAAGGCATGGCATGACGACGGAGACGTTCCCAAGGGTAGATGACGGGCAGTCTCCATCACGGTATTCGTCGCACACCTGAAAAACTGAAAATCTTGAATGTAATTCACTTTTTTATTTTTCTCGAAGTTCCTATCCTGTCGCCGTCATTCTAGGCCCTACCATCTTCCTGACTTCTCACAAGTTATTATCGTATCTCCCAGCTTCCCAGGAAGTTTTTCCAGTTTGGCGCTCTTCGGCGACGGGGGGGGGGAGCATTTTGCACTTTCGCAGCTTCAGTAGTTCCGGTTTACAAGTCTCACTCTGGTGAAACCTGTGAACTCTTGTGTAGCTGGAGCAAGCTCGTCCAGCCACCATGATAAAACCTGTCAACTCTCGTGAGGCTCTCTCGATGGCTCGACACTCTATAGGAAGTGGCAGAAAAAGCAAAATGCCCCCCTCCGTCGTCGAACTGCGCCTCCAGTTTATCCCCAACAAACAGCCCTCGGGTGGTGGAGAGAGGTCCCCGAGGAGAGTCGGGTTTTCACTTGGTATTTTTGGTTGTTCACATTTGTCGGTCTTCACTGTTTGATGTGCACCATTCATGAATGCCCCCTACCGCTCGCTTGAGCAGAAGATTTTTGAGAGAAAACTCAAGTGGAGGAAAATTTCTGGAAAAATCCGGGAAAACTGTAGGAAGCTGGGAAAGTTCAGGATAGGATGGAGTCGTACTCTACGCTTAATTTGGGAACGTGCATGAATTACTGGAAAAAAAAACTGAGAAAGTGGTAGAAAGCTGGAAGATTTTTTAAGGAACACGGTAGATAGGGCAGGGGGATGATTATAACAGAAGAGGTTTTTAGGGAGGTCGTATTTTAACAAAAAAATTTTTCCAATGTCAGGGCATACTCTGATCAGAAAAAGTAGCTGGACCGTACTTTCACAGCGGACGTCCACTGGGAAAAATCAGACAAGCGAAAAAATTCCACAGCGTATCGGAAATGGTGACCTCTAATGAAGTGCGCCCTACGATGCTGTACGCGGGCCATCTCCCTGGAACATGACCGAACCACTTTAATATGATCCCCTATGCATTACCCGATGGTGCTGAAATTTGAAAAAAATTCGTACTTTCCCACGCATCAGTTCGTCTCTAAGCTTGATGGCTTTCAGTGCCAGATTCTCCTGTTTTCTTCGTCGTGTTTCGCAGTTCGCTCCCCCTGCAAATCGACGTCCCAGCGGTGTGACGCACCAACAAACCTCCGTTCCCGCAAGGCATTGCCTGTAAAAAAGTGATTTTTCAGATGAATAAATATAATTCCCCTTCCCTGATAAGTAACAAACGGGCACAATGTTTATGCTTTGTAATCGTGAATGATAATTTAATAGGGAAAAGTTCCTTACTTTTTCCTGTACAACCTCCCACTGGATTCGCACTGGGGAATGGCCTGTCCGAGTAGCTCATTCTGGGCGAACTCGTCAAGAATCAGTCTCCGTCGTCGTGCACAAGCTATAAATATTACTCTCACTTAAATTTTACTATTTAAATACTACTATTACTATACATATTACTTACTGATTAATATATTAATCAATAAATTTATTTATTAATTCATTTATTTATTTATTTATCACACAATAATATTAGTATTTACTAGTACATATTTCTTTATGCGTTTATTGAATAGAACGATCTAACTCTGCCGTTAATCAGTCGTTTTTTTGAAAAAGACGCGCATTCTACTTCTACTCAGAATCGTAGTGGCCCTATACATACAATGACTTGCGAGGCCAGCTGACGTACAAGTCAGCGTTCTTATCCTCCCAGACGAATCTGGAACCAATTTACCGTCCCCGGAGGGTAGAAGGCTTGATTGGCCTGAGCGAGAGTTGATCCAGGATTTCTCCACGAATTGTGCAAGTGGTAAGGCTGCGTTTATACTTTGCGGCAGCGTAGCGTAGCGCTTCCAGCGTACGCCAGCGGCAGTGCCGGGGAGAGGATGGATATCGATCTAGCTTCACCAGCGTCACCAGCGTACGCTAGCGTACGCCAGCGTTTCTCCAGCGTTTCACCAGCGTTTTGCTAGCGTTTGCAGCGGCAGGGGAGTAGAGACTATGTGGCCGTAGAGACGCGGAATCGACGTGTATTGTAGAGACTATGTGGCCGTCAGAGACGCAGAATCGATGTGTATTGTAGAGACTATGTGGCCGTCAGAGACGCGGAATCGATGTGTATTGTAGAGACTGAGGGCGAGTGAGAGACGCGCAATCGATGTGTTTTGTACCCTCCAGCTCTCCCATAGTCTCTACTCCCCTGCCGCTGCAAACGCTAGCAAAACGCTGGTGAAACGCTGGAAAACGCC